CACGTACGATATTCTATTTCGTTAAATCCCTTAATAATGGCATTACTATTAAAATTGGTTATTTCGCACTTTGCCGATAAGTTATGTAGTATCTATAAATATACTAAACTTTGAAATAATGGATTATTATGCATTAGTATATAAAATATATATATATATATATATATATATATATATATACATACATAAATATTGTTTTGAAATAGAAGCTAATTTACATATTTATAAAAGCAAATCACTTAGTTATATATGTATGCATGCATTACGTATGCATGCCAAAATAGAATTCGCGTAATGGAAAAAGGACAATTGCTTTTATGGTGGAAAATTAATATTCTAATACTATTCGTTAAAGTGTGAGAAGTGTAAGAATGGGATGATTGCTGAGAAGTAATATTGAGAACGAAAAGAATTTTCTGTAAATTAATGACATGTCATTCTAAACTGAAAGGCAACGCCTCGAATTAATGATAATCAAACTGATTAGACGCTCTTTAGCGAGCTTAGATCGTAAGTAAATTAGTTAATTAGAGAAAATGGAAGATTATTATCGACAACTGGAATATACAACGGCACATAATTCGATTCATTTATTTATTTGACACGAATCTACTAAATTTATTGTATCTGTAGCACAGAAAACGGCATTTAAGATTTTAAATCGTTCTATTTATTCGTAAATTTACGTCAGTCGTGTATATATAATATATATATATATATATATATATGTATATATATATATATATATATATATATATATATATACAGTGAGAGAGAGAGAGAGAGAGAGAGAGAGAGAGAGAGAGAGAGAAAACTATTATTTTTATCGACGAGGTCAATTAAGTATAATTTATTGAACAAAATACATTTTTGAATAATTTTCCTTGGGAATAGAATGCTTTAAAAAAAATCAATTTTCAAATTATTTAATTGCACTTGGAGAATTAAATTCTTAATTAAATTTTTCCCTCGATATTCAATTTTCAGCTACTTATTTTATTGTTTCTCGAACTTTAAAAGTAAATCCTTAATAGCATTATATTTTAATACGCTTTTCCGGCATGCAAATAACCATTAATTGTTAAAAAATTTATGAAACTTTTATCGTAGCAATTAGTTATTAAAAAAATAAAAAAATAAAAAAAGACCTATTTATTTAAAGGTAGAAAAAAATTTGCTTATTGTTAATCAGCCAAAATCCATTATTGTTCGAGTGTTTTTATCATTGGCGCAGAGTGACAAACGCGTTGGCAAAATCGACGAAGAAAGGCTGGTAATATAGTAAATAAAACTTCCAAGCAATAAGTCGAGAATTCGTCGCCTAATATTGTCTCGGTCGTCCTTTGGTGGATTATGGTATGGTCGTAACGAGTGCCAAATAACAATTTACACGAGTCATTGAATTGTTTTCATCAGCATTTGCATACGACCGCGATAAGTCAACGGACCAAGACCGCGGACTTGGCGCGGGTCCTGCTCCTCATAATCGTTTCCCCGTTCTCAGCTTACAAAAGCCAAATCCAACGCGTAAAATAAGAAAAATGTAAGACCGATCGAGGGAAGCGGATTAAGAAATAGGCCGAACAACTCGGCGACAGCCGTATAATCTACCAGGTAAGTTTGAACAATAAAACCAAGCGCCCCTCCCGTGTTCACGAGTATTGGGATCTTTATTGAGCGACCCCGAGGACGGTGGGCTCGTAATCGACCTGGAATGCAAACGATATGGGTTCCACAGTCTTTAAAGGTGGGTTGGTCCACAAGAGACAGCAATACCGGAGTGAACCGACTTTTAAAAGATTGAGGGAGCGAGAGAGCGAAGGAGCGAGGGAGCGAGGGAGAGAGAGATAGAGAGAGAGAGAGAGAGAGAGAGAGAGAGAGAGAGAAATCGCGTTCGCGAGACCGACGTCGGTGCGAACGATTTGAAGGAAAATTCGATCGTACCGGGAATGAGGGATGAGGATGGTCGGTTTATTGAGCTTCGGCTAAAATCTTACTACTTTGTGGCACCCCGTTTGCTGTAAATTACCGTGGAAGAATTATGATTTGTTATGTGTGCTCGATTATGTGGATAGGCTGAGTGAGAATGGCCGAGCAGTCAATGGAACGCTCCAATGGATTTCCTCTCGGTATTGTAAATGCTGACTTTCATGTTTACTTTGTCAAATTAATGACATAGCTAAGGAAAAAATGATCCTTCCCTTTAACGTACTTCTATGTAAATCTTCTATTGTAGGCATGCATGTATCAAGGGTAGTGGGTTTAACTTATAAATTGGACTCAATGGCCATTAGATAACATTTACTCGATTGATACTACAGCCAGCTAAATCGATCATTTCATTGCTTCACGGCAATTAGGCGCTCGAGCGTTAATTGTCTATATGTGTATTGTACTCCGAGAGTCGTAATATGCGATTGAAATAAGGATAAGGTGGGCGGGCTAAACGACTCACTTAAACGCAGTCGTAATGTATTTTTTAGTGGAATACGGAGTGGAAAGTGGTGGTGTTCGCGTACTTAACTTAATAAAACCTCAAAGTGGCCGGACCGTAATGCGGGACACGAGGGAGCATCTGTCGACAATAAGGTAAACTCGGCTACGAAACGTATATTCCTTTTTCCTTTTCTCTTCCATCTTTCCCTTTTTCCGACACCTCTCGCATTCTTCGAAGTCCGAGTCACGCACGTATTCCAGCGAACGGAAGATCGGAATTCAAAATACTCGGCGTAGTGGCGCATTAAACGAATGGCACATCTGGTCAACACACGAGACTCGCGCGATCCCCCACGTGAAAAAGGATCGCCGCTGACTTTTCTTTATTTTTTTTTTTTTTTTTTTTACCTTTTTTTCTCTTATTTTTGTTGGAATGGCGACGAGGGGTGGGAAATGGAGGGAGGGAGAAAGGAAAGAGTTTCGCGTCTCGCAGCTGAAGGGAAAGCTCTTAAATATCTTGAGATTTTTCATTGTGCTCGGACTCTCCCCTTCCTCATCAAGTTTCCTTTACAATTACGACTAAAGAAGGGTCGAGGACGAACCAATTTGCAAATATGTATGGCATGCAATGTAATTCAATATAACTTATTGTGGATAATTAGATAACGCTACCTCGCGAACCTGCAGAAATCAGAATTATTTATTTCATTAAAAGATGCGGATTTTTTTTTATTTATTTGTCTACGCTACGAAAGCTTTTAGCTTGCAAATTCAATCGAATTAACAATATGTCGTATTTGATTTATGCAATGATTTATGCAATCGATTTTAAATAAGACAATAGGACGCGAACGCTTCCGTCAAGGGCTCGATCGGACATGTAAGAGAGCCGTAGGAGCTGCTGCTGTAGGCGCTACTGCAGGGGCTGCAAGCCGTCTCCGTCGTCGGTTGGAAATTGTTAACCGGAGACACGTGTAAAAGGCAGACGACGGGGGCATTACGGGGCTTTAAGCGAATCGATAAAATCGAAGGTAAAAATGGAAAGGAAGGGGAAAAATTCGTGACCACGCAAGCGACAGGCACACATCAGCGTTCGGTGAATGACGCTCATTGTCGCGCTTCCCATTAATCTCCTTCCTCGTATGTTCTTTTGGCTGCTATTATTTGAATAGCTGACGTCCGTGTGTGGGGTTGGGGAGTGCGGTCGTCGAGTTATTTACGAGCACGGGCATCGCAAAGCTATTCTAAGCTGGTAGTTCGATTATTTATTCTATTGTGATAAGGGATCTTTTTACGGCCTCTCCTTGTTGAGGTACTCCCAGAGTCGGCTCCGGGATCTATTTTGTTAGCGCGATATTGATAATCGGGAGATGCCAGGAATTTCAAACGTCTCGACTATCATAATCGAAACAATTCTAAAAATGTCTAAACGAATTCTAGAAAGGCATCGGTGGATCCTACGTATCGCTACATTATCAAGAAATTTTCTCGTTAATCAAAAGCAACTGTTGCGCCGTTGTACCCGGTATGTCAGGATATAAGCATAGCTGACACTGTATGGACACATTTGGAAACGAGTTTTGACATTTGGAATACAATTGAGCGATAAAAGAATTGTTCGAGAAATATGTACGTTCATTTAAAATATGCGATTCGTCGTATTTATATGTAAAAATGGCTAAGCTTGAAATATATTAACTGTTGTAGTCCGTACGTGGAAAACCGTGGTCGTGCAACGATGAATTCGAGGCCGTTAAGGGGAATTCATATACGATCGATCGATCGACCGTTGGTCACTTTAATTGATTTTTCCAACTGTAGACAGTCAGTTGTTGTTTCTATCATACGCGAGTACACGCTAGCAATTATCCTTTTAGAATTGGGCATTAAATGAAGGAAGAGAAGGAAAAAAAGAAGAGAGAAAAAAGAAAAGAGAGAGAGAGAGAGAGAGAGAATAAGGAGAAAGTGGCTAACGACATTCAAGCGATTTTAAACCTTTGCCTCGGCATGTAACGCAAGCTCGGGTCTGTTTTGATTAAAGATTCCTGGTATGTTGTTTTAAGGAGTGCGCCGCGGTGAGATGGTAACATCATTCTTGGCACAACGTCGCGCCTTTATCGCTTCTATATCGACACTATGAAAATCTCAGATTGGTCGAGCGCGATAAGCCGGGTACACGCGACGAAATGAAAATCACGTAGCTTGGAAAGATTAGCGCAGGTACACGGGTAGTTCATGGATAGCGCGATAAGACGCGATTACGGAGTCAAACCGCTGCCACGGGGACTCGATTGCATTACAAAAATCTGCAAGGGCTTTCGATACGTTGACGAACGTTAAAACGCGAAACAATTCCCAAACAATCAGCTCGACTGGGGATGGGGGAGGGAGGCGCGAAAGAAAGAAAAAAAAAACAAGATTACAACAATGTTTTGCCAACGATCCCGGTGAAACTGTGTCATTGTCTTCGGAAAGGACCGACGAGCGTTAGCCGACTATTATCAAAGAGACTCTGGAAAGGGATACGAGCGAATCGCCACATACGACAAAGATAATTCAGTCACCTCGTGGTCGGCGAAGATTGGCGGCTTGTCGAGGATATTGTCCCCGCTAACGGGGCTCGGCGGCGAGGTAGGGCTCGCGCTCGGACTCGCGTGATAGGCCTTCGCCTCCTTGGCCTGCCTCTGGGGCGACATCCTCGCCGGGAAGCTTAGGGTCTTGGTCCATTGCGAGAGTCCCCGTACCATGTTGCCGGCTTGTCGGATAGGCGGGGGAGGGATGCGGGCTGTGTGTTACGAGCTGCGGGTTGCGGGCTGCGAGCTGCGTGCTGAGAGGTCCGATATAGCGAGACACTCGCGTTTTAACGTAACGGAGATCCGCCCGACTCGGAGGCGCTGACTCGACTGACGGAGAGCGAGCGAGCGAACGCCGAGAGGAAGCTCCGAGCACTCCCCCGGGGTCCACTGGGTAGTAGTGGGGTCGATGGCGCGCGCCGGACCGAAGCGCAACAGCTGCGGCCCGCGGTCGAGCCTCCCATTGGCCGACCGCTGAAACGGAAACGACCTCCCTTGCCTCGCCTCGCCCGATCGCTCCGGTCGCCCCTCGCCTTGCCCTGCCACGACCCGTTCCGTCGCCACGGGGCCCCAGCCTCGCGGTCGGAGCCGATACTCGCCTTTAATCGACGACCTTCCTTTAGCGAGAGCGTTTATCCGGGGCGACCCGTCCTCACGGGGATTGTCCCTGGAGATCTCCCCCCCGCCCCCGTGCCTCTGCTCACGGGAGTACGGACGATTACCGAACGATTACCGAATGACGCAGGAACGATGAGACGAGAAGACCGCGGATTTACGCTAATTGCATTATCGGAGATGATCCGGCTGGAACGCTTGTCTTGAATGAAAATTGAGAAATCGGTAGGGAGCGCGTGTTCCGTCTATTTTCCAGACCAAAGATAAATCGTTCTCGTGCCCCGCTACCCTCCAACATACCACCACATTCGAAGAGAAAATTTTCATTCGCCAATAAGAATAATCATGGAAGCGGGCAAACAACAACAATCAGATGATTTATTCGTACTCCTAGCGACAATAAAATGAATATTTTGCCAAGTGCACTTACAAGATCAGCAGTTTCCTTTTCGTTTGGTAATTTTTTTTTGTTTTTTGTTTTTTTTTGTTGTTGTTGTTTGCTTGCTACGGCCTAAGATAATTATGGAATGGATATGAACGGGTTCGCATACGGCTGCTTTGGAGGATGCGTCTTTCTTATTAGACCGCTGACGCGCTCACAAGACTCCTATTCATATTTTGAGATTACAATTACCATTTCGCAGTCACGTTACTCTTGATGAAACGGAATGGCGATATTCTGCACGTGGCGTGGCGATGGCCGCTCCGTGCATCGGATGGCAATTACCGATGAATCTCGGAATTGTCATTATCGCGAGCGTAAAAGGTATTTTTACAATTTGTAAATGCATTCTGATCGGCGGGAGGGTAAATGAAAATAAGAACGCGGTCATTGGCTGGCCCAACGACGAGCCAAGATGATCGAGATGCTTAGGCGATGTGTCGAGGAAGTGTGTAACAGAAATAATGGCTAGACAAAAAGAGCAACGGGCAAATAGACAGGAGTGAGCGATGCTGCACACATGTGTAGGCAACGGAATGAGAAATGCAGCGGGTTGATCTCCGAGGGATACAACAACAACGCGTTTCTTCTGGACTCTTTTATTTTTCTTCCGCGTTAAGGGATAATTTGGGAGTGCGATGCTGAAGAGTCAATACCCCATGCGGGATAGCGCTCCCATATATGTGTAAACATGGGATTATTTTCAATTTATTTCGGATTATTTCCGACAGCATTTAATTATTAATTTATTTATCCGAGCAGTCGGTATTTGAAAGTGGGACATTGTGGTATCTTGAGAGGGGGGCTTGGGGGGCAGTTTTGCCAGGCCCACCCACCTACACTGGCGATACGTTTATTTTGAATTTACCATTTCCGGAGGGCCGCCTAACCATCGGCCTTTATCATTATTCCGCTCGGAGCATTAATCACAAGAATCTTACGATCCTGCACAAATGAATAACAATAACACCATGAAATGATTAGGTAATGATAATTACAAGATTTGTAGAATGTTGATGTAATGATTAAAAGAACGTATATTCCATGAGATTATTAAAGTTTATGGCTTTTGGGAGAGTTTTTTTTTTTTTTTTTTTTTGCTATTGACACGCGTCTGTTATGTACTTGAGCGTTATAACGTGCAAAGCCTTTTAATTTCGTCAGACTCGCTTTAAGCTTCACGCACGAATATTATTTCCAAAACATAAGTAAATTAATGTTCTCTTATTGCTGCAAGGTAATCGAACCAAAATATAAATAATAATTAAAAAAACTTAATTATTAAGTCGAAGTCGCGACGACTAATACATGGTAAGTTCTTGGCAATGGCTCCGACTCTTTCCGAGTATCGCTTTATCTTTTTAGTACATCTACAATAGTTTAAAGTGGAGAGTTTTAAAAATTTAAAATTTTAAATGTACTGCCATAATTCTGTATCGCTGCTGCTTTCTCTCATACTTAAATTACAATGAAATTCTAATTCCGATTGTTCGGTTACCTTTAAATTTTCAATTGCAATGGAATAAATGTCTAAATCGAACTCGATGATTATTCAATTAAAAAATGTCTTAAGAATAATACATCGCCGGTACATAGAGTGTCGAGATGTTGGTCGTTGAGCTATGAATAGAGAAAATGTCGGATAAACCAAAGCTCAGGAACGAAATTGACACGCGGAGAAGCCCGAATATATATATATATATATATATATATATATATATACTCGTGTTGGAGCGAGAGACCCATTTCCATTCACGGCATCACTTTACAATGACCGTGAATCGCCGAAGTGGAAAATAGGGAAGAAGATCCACTGGTAGTATACCTTTGAGAGAAAGAGAGAGAGAGAGAGAGAGAGAGAGAGAGAAAGCTAAGCTTACCCGTATGATTTTTTGCGCTCGTTCAGACTTGTTCTGTCCTGTTTCAATAGGCACTCACTCGCTCTGCATTCAAACGGGATTAAAATGCAACTTAATCGATAATTGAGAAATCAATTGACGTCCATTGGTGAAATGATTGCGCTCGTGCTTACCACCACATTAAAAAGCTCGATTATCCCCATTTAACAGTGTGAAAAAATTTGATAGGCGCTAGATGTTTCAGAATACATTCTCGCCGAGGATTACCATGAAAGGAATCCATGTCCAATCGGAGCCACGTTTTCAATGTTTTCAACGATACAATACGCCGACTTTCAGCTGGTCTCGGGAAAATTCCAATGGCATCGAGAGCAAGACGGACAACCTCGCCGAAAACGGGTAAAGAGGAGGAATGCGCGTGCTTCGGCGACCTTAGAGTAAACGCATGCAGGAGCGACGACCGCACCACGTTCTTGCAATGCCTAGGGATAAGCGATGAGGATTCGAGACATACGGGTGGAGGTGGTCTCTGTATCTGTCTCTGTCTCCCCCCCTCTCACACACACTCTCTCTCTCTCTCTCTCTCTCTCTCTCTCTCTCTTGGCGGTATTCGGTTTGATAATCTTACTAGGCGGTGATCGTGACTCGGGTGGGAATGTGCCTGGTATTGTTCTCGGAATGATGGATACGAGATCGTGGCGGGAAAGAAACTCTCGTCGAAAAGATGACGAGAGTCCGGGAAAGCCGAGCAAATTATAGGCGTCGGTGTTGAGCTTTTGGATCATTTTCGATGGGTCGTCGACGTTAATGGTGTCATGGCGCTCACTTTCGACTATTTTCTCGATGACGAAAGGGTAAAAGTCACTTTACAAAAATGCAGTGGACGCTTAGTTTTCAAAATCGAATGATTTTCGGGGAACTGCCCTGCGTGTCCGTGAAACGAGATACTCGTATAGCTTCGATTACCGCTTGTCCCGTTGTTTTCAAAAACTTTGCAATGGCCTTCTTCGATTTTAAAGGGCTGCGCTCGAACACAACGAATGGTAATTTTAACTTTCCCTAATTATCTGCGATTTATTATGTGCATGATTAATGTACGGAAAATGTATTTATTTTTTTTTTCTCGAATGGGATAAGGGTCATTAGGTAAGGATAAGGGCAACGAAAAATGCCCTAAATAAATCGTAAGCGAATCGTTGTTTTGAATACACTTTCGTGTATTAAATAGCTGTACTGACTTGGGATAGATATTTAATATTACAATATTGAGTGAATATTCGGCTGAATAGAAAGTACTGTTAATTTTGTCAAATATTATTATTCTCTTCTTCTATTGCCTTACTCGGCCTAATATACGTTGAATCGAATAATTATTACGAAACTTGCGAGATACTTGCCACGGGTGGCAACGCCTTGTTAATGATTTCAATATTTCATATATTACAAATCACCAGAAGCAAACGATCAGCTGTTTTACGGAATAACTTGGACATAAACAAAAAAAAAAAAAAAAAAAAAAAAAAAAAAAACGAAAAAGAGGTGGCGAAAGCCATTTTTCAAATTTGCCAGCCAATCTACATATGCAAGTAATGCAAGTAAATATCAATATATTTATATACTTTTGTTAGATATATATGGCATCTGTTGTTATATTTCTAATAAATATATTAATCTAAGAAATAGAATTGAAATTTGTAGGAAACTGTAAAGATATAAATGTTAGTACGTGTAAATATGAAATTAATTATAAAACCTATGTTAATTTCATTTGCAATTTAATTTGTAATTGATGTTACTGCGTTGTTAATCCTCGTTTAATAGAATTATGGTAAATATAATATATTTAATAAATATAGTATTGAAGGATTATTTTGAAAATTGCTGCTTAAACACGAGGATTTTCTTATGATTCTTCGATTACGTATATGAATAATAATATATGTATTAGTGACATTTCATACAATCCAGTTGTAATAATACTTAATAATTCAAATATTCAAATAAAAATAAGTTTAATCGTTGTCGTTCGATGATCATTAGTACAACCGGCAACATATATTCTAGGTAAAATAAATATTTCTTATAAATCGTCAATTATCAAGTCCATGTAAGCATCGAACAGAATGAAAACGAATGCGATGACAGTCGGATGCATCTTAATGCTTAAAATGAAAAATATTTTATTACCGACTATTAGCCGACGATAAAATGTCGATATAATAGAATCTAATTAATTAATAACAATGATCCTTTTTGTTATTCGATTTCTTAATATTTAGATACAATTATGACTAGTATAATTGGTTGTCTGCACTT